AGCAGCAAACCGCGCGCGCCTCATCTTTTTATTAACAAAAAAAAATGTTGCTTGTGGAATGGAAAATAAAAAGGTAAGGAGGAGTGACGACCGTTCAGAGGGGTTAGGTGACAATTGGCCTGCCCATAGATCAGCCGATCGATGGCATTATCATCCCTTCCCCTGCGCGTTTCACGTGACTTGACAAGAAAATTCTTCTTTGTCCTCGTTTGGTAGAGCACCATTTCAGAACGCAATCCAACTAGTTTATTTCCTTTTTCTTTTCACCTGGTCTGGTCGCCACTAAACACCGCAAGAAACACTTTTGCAAAGCCGGCCTTCCGATTGATTCGTCAGTAGATATGAGCTCAAGTATGTAGATGTTATTGTTCAGATGCTGCTAACCCCTCCAGGCAGATTCATTCAGACACTGTTAAGTGTTAAAGCGAAGCTGAGCTGAATAACAGACGCACACTTGCACGTACGACAGGCACGCACAGCTCGCTGGCTCGCCCTCGAAACACGAAGCCTTGTCCAGCTCGGCGTCCGAGTTGCGTTGCGTGAAGCTGTTTCGTCTGAATGCAATGCAACGCTTCCTTCCACGGCTTGTCAATGACCCGATCCCAGACGGCGCCCCTTCCGCGGACTGCTCCTCCACAGCGCCCGAACTGAAAGCACCGCCGGGGCAGTTCCTCGCCTGTTGCCTAACAGCGTCTCTCCCATCCCTCCCCCGGAGACCGGGTCATCGGAAACTTCTATGTCGCGGGGCGCCGGCACCGGCGAATGGTGGGGCGACACGGCAGGGACTCCCCGGCTCCAATGGCGACCTGACACAGGTGATGGTGAGGCCACCTTGATCGGTTAGGATAAAGCAGCGAGGACGAACCGAGCACGGACGAACGATCGGCAAAAAGGCTAGGCTAGGCTAGGCCTTGTGCTAGGGTGGTGTACGTGTTGTAAACAATTCGGCTACTAGTAGTTTCTTGGTTTCGGAGGGGAGACACGTCATGATCCGACAACGGCGTTGGGTGGCACAGGGTACAGGATCATCCATCCATCTGAACGAGGTGCGCCGCAACCGGGTCAAGTTTCTCCGTTTCAGGAACCGACATTTCTGGTCCCTGTAGGTGATCCAGTCTGATGTGATGTCTATAACTAAATTTTGCTAGGGCCTGTGTTTTGTTTCTTCAGATATAAGGGATGTGAACTTCACATTTCTATACATTTAGATGTGAGATGTTTGTTTAAAAAATGTCACCCCAAAACCTTATTTCTATTCAGATTATTTAATATAAATGGTACCCAACACCTTGCTTGCAGTTTCTATTCAGTTCGGTTGTGGTTCTATTGCAGCTCACAAAGGATTGAGGCCTGTCAAATATTAGAGTATTGTTGTGCCATGGAGTTTTCTACGTTCAATGGATGGCCTTGTATTTTCAATTTACAATAATAAACATCGAACTGATGTAAGTATTTAAACTTTGAGTGTGTTTGTGTTATTTGTGGCCTGAACTTTTTCATTTATATATATATATATATATATTTCACAACTTCACATTTCTAACTTGTCTTCAGTTGCACTACATTACAAGCAGTATCTTACTGGTGATTTCAACAAGATTTGATCAGTATGTACCAAAATGTCTTTCCTTTCGTCTCTTCTCGAAACGTTCTTGAAAATTTGGAATCACCGAAAATTGTTCATCTAAACCAATGAGGATCGCTGTCATCCTGAATAAACTTCTGAGTGACTGAGGTCGCTTTAATCTCCGGTCTGCAGTAACTAGATAATGCAATCAGAGTGCCATAACAATGAATAAATAAATCTGACGTGACCTATGCTTCTTGACAGCTAAGGCCTGACGACGACACCCACATAGTTTTTTTCTTATATAACATATAGCTTGCCATAATCACACGAAGCAACTTTTTTCGAGAACGTGCGAAGCAACTGATATTACTAAAAAGAAAAATTGCGGAATTTTCCCAAGCATGGGTGTGAGTCACATTCGCTAAAAACTATGAACAGTCACAATCTTGAGGAACACACTACTATATATCTTTTAGCTTTTGGTCTGAGCAACAAAGATATATGGATGATCTACAACTATACATACCCAATTATGCATTCCTACCAGTTCACTCTACTAGTACCAATTCACCGAATTTTCGCCGAATCCCATCTCCTGGAGACTGGGCCTTGATGTTAGTGGCTCTAGCAAGAGCAGATCAATGGAAGGCGTTGGAGGGTCAAATTCATTATTGGTGGGGGGGGGGGGGGGGGAGGGACCAATGAGACACTCGTCCTTGCACATCACTACCACATGCCCAATACCAAAAGCAAGTGCTGCCACCAAACTGAGATAAAGGTGGCATTAGTTAAGTGGTGTTAGGGGGCGGCACCCTCCTCTGCACTTTTAACCAGAAATGAAACGAAACGAAAAAGGAGATTTGGCCTTTGGGCGCGCAATGCAGATGCAGCATGTATATATGCAGACATCTGGTGGTACATTTCTGTTGCTGATGCACTTGGTCCTGTGAGACGTCAGCGTCGTCTCTCAGCAGGAGCCGGTCGAGCATCTGATGATGATCAGATCAGTTGTGGCCGGGATTGGGAGGTTCACAAGGCAAAGAGGGTTTAGGTCCACCAACTGGTGGTTACGAGACTAATACAGCTTAACAGATACCCCCATCACCTACTCTAGCGATCAATCAAGACCCTGCAGGGAGTGAGTGAATGAATCACCTGAAATGGGCAACTTGTGGGACCTTTTCAGGTAAAAATACACCAGGCAAAGGCAAGCGAGGAGCTAACTTTCTGTCCGGCAAGTGAACTAGGCAGGCAACTAGCTGGGTTCTTCTGCTGAAAGAGCACTACTGAAAGTGAAATGACATCAACGTTTGCAAGAAGCGTAAAAACTAAGAAATTTTAACGGCTTCTGCTTTCCTTGTGTGCTTATAGTGGAGAAAACAAAGCTCTGATCTGCCGATGGCTATCTGATCGCTCACGAAAACAACAAAACAAAAAACACGTATATGGTACTACTGATTTTTTTTCCGGTTCGAGTTGTATCGAAGAATAAGCTTTGGACATGGATTCGTCTATGACAAAAAGGATTTTTATTTGCATAATACTACCTCTGTTTTCAAAAAATGATACAATCCTAGTTCTATAGTTAATCAAACTATCTCAAAGTTGATTAAATTTGTAGAAAAGAGTATCAGTATTTAGACAACAAATAAATACACTATGAAAATATATTCCATGATAAATCTGATGATACTGTTTTGGTATCATAAATATTGTTATTTTTCTTGATAAATTTAGTCAAATTCAATAGTACTATGGTAGAATTGCATCCTTTTTGGCACGGAGTGAATACTAAAATTGCTTCCGTTCTTAGAAAATTAAGCTGATCAACTTAACGCTATCTGATTGCTCATCAAGAGAGCAAAACAAAAACATTTACATGATATTAAAATTCCTTGCGACATTGTTCTTTTTTTATATGTATATTGACAACAAATTTGTCAGAAGCTCCGACAGTAATCCAAGAAGGAGATAAGCACCCGAGCTGATCCAAGGACGCGAATTATGGACGGTAGAATCTTTAGGCATGCGAACAGTCTCAAAATTGAGGGCTGAGATTGAGCATCATCCAAGTGAAAGAATCTCAGCCGTCCAATTTCCTATTACCGGAGCGCGCAGCAGTCAGTGAAAACCTATGGGAGAAAATGATAGAGAAAAGAGATAGAGAGGAATAAGTGAGAGGAAACAAACAAAAATGGTGGTGGGGTTTCTTTAAGATTTATAGGAAGATAGCGTTAGGCAGCCCTTATTGATGGCAGGAGTATATTATTGCTCAAGGTAGGAGGAGTCAGGGGTTAGAACAACTCAAGTCTAGAGAGGGAACCAAAAGGGAAAAATAACAAAAAGAATAGACACAGCTCTGTTCTTCTTATTCCAATCTTCTCTCGTCTTGCTGATTCATTCTTAGAATCCTTGGGATCAGCTCTGTCTGTCCCCTTGTTAGGTGGTTTCTGTTATAGCCAAGAACTCTTCCTCTTTCTAAGTCTTAACTTCAGTTTCTTGCAGAGGTATAGCCTTATCTTTGTGAAGCTTAGATTATCCTTTGCGTCTTAATCTGAACAACATACATCATAGATGAATTCTTGGTTTCTACTTCCTGCTTGTTGAGCTTTCAGTTTCTAGTTAGCTCCATGTGTTTGGTGGTGGGTGCACCAGCTGAATAGGTTGGCTCTTGTTTGGCTTGGTCTCTGAAGCACTAGTCAAGGTTCTTTGAAATCGGACTGAATTTTTCTCTGGAGTTAGTTCTTCTTGACTGAAATTTCTGGCTGTGTGCCGAATTTTAGGATTCCTTTCCTTTCATAGCCCACTGATTTGGACTGCTAGTTTTACTCTAATTAGGTGATGCCTTCACCATAACAACTTAAAGGCTTCGATTGCTTTCTATGTCCCAGGTATATCTTAAAAGCTTTGGTGACCGTCTTCAAGGAAGTGCAGTCATCTGAAGTTTATCATCCCAGGTAGATAATTTTTTGTTGGATCCACTCTTTTGTTTCTTTGTGCTGATTTTCTTCAGGCTTTGCTCGCTGGCTCGCCCAATAGAAGAGTAGAAGACATATTCTTCAGTTCTTTTTCAGTCTCTTGTCTGAATTTGCTGTTATTATTGCCTACTAGTATTTGACTTACTATGTTTTCTGACGAATTCGGTATGCTGATGCATGAGATGTTTTGCTTCTGATTCAATCACGAATGTTTAAAGAAATTATCCCTTTCTTTTTCTTTTGTCTCCAATTACATGCAGCGAAGCCGAATTTCTAATAGTTTGGAATCTGCAATTTTTTTCTTTTGCAGCCAGCTGTAATCTTGGAGCCGCATACAGTTATCTTTGAAGCTTTGATAACACCAATCTGATTCTGATGACAAAAACAGTCACTATCTCCCGTCATCCTTGTAACGATCTGTCAGCTGGCTTCATCTCGTGCTTCTGAAGACGATGGCCACATTCTTCTCCACTTCCACGAATCAGAGGGACCTCGCCGGAGGCGGCGGCGACATGTCGTTCCACCACTACACGTACTCGGATTCACCAGCCGGCGGCCTCATGCCTTTCCCCGCCACCATCGTGTCGGAAGGCCACGTTGCGCATGGCCATGGCGGTGACGACGGCAGGGACGAGCCGGCCGCGTTCGTGAACGTGAGGGACGGGCCGACGAGCGGCGCCGAGATGGGCCTGCAGACGCAGCTGCTCATGGCGAACGCTTCGTCGTCGGTGCAGCACCAGGGGCTGTCGCTTAGTCTTGGCACTCAGGGAGTCCCGGTGTCTCTTTACCAGTACCGGCAGGCGCAGGCAGGCATGGCCGCCGCCTCCTCCTTGCTGAGCCCGAACCAGGCGTCGACGACGGCGAGCAGGAACGCGCAGAGTATCTACATCCAGAACTCCAGGTACCTCAAGGCCGCGAGGGAGCTGCTGGACGAGGTGGTCAATGTCCGGGACGCGATCAAGCGGAAGGGGGACAAGAACCAGCATGGCAAGGATTCCGGCGGCGAGGGCAAGGACGCCGAGACAAGCGACGACAAGGCCGACGAGCACGAGGGGAACTCCTCCGCGGCGGAGCTGACGCCGTCGGAGAGGCAAGACCTCCAGAACAAAGTGTCGGCACTGATGGCGCTGCTGGATCAGGTAATTTTTTTTTTCTGTCATGGTTACGTGGTGCAGTGCATGCTGTTGCTGTTTTGCTGCGACTGCAAGTGAGTTCGTAGTTTGTTCGTTAGGACAAGAACAGAACTTGACGTAAACGGAGGGTAATTTGCATTGGGTGGCCATGAATGACAGGTGGACCGCAAGTACAGGCACTACCACCACCAGATGCAGATCGTGATGTCGTCCTTCGACGCGGTGGCCGGCGCCGGCGCGGCGAGGCCGTACACGGCGCTGGCGCTGCAGACCATCTCCCGGCACTTCCGGTCGCTGCGTGACGCCGTCGGCGCGCAGGTGCAGTCGCTGCGGCGGAGCCTGGGCGAGAAAGACACCTCGGCGCAGGGCGGCGGGCTGTCCCGGCTGCGCTACATCGACCAGCAGCTGCGGCAGCAGCGCGCCATGCAGCAGTTCGGCATGATGCAGCAGCCGCAGCACGCCTGGCGCCCGCAGCGCGGCCTCCCGGAGTCCGCCGTCTCCGTGCTCCGCGCCTGGCTCTTCGAGCATTTCCTCCACCCGTAAGGCCGTAACAACCTAAACCTTCTTCTACATCGATCGTGTATCCATATCACTCGAATGCTCCATGATCGAATCGATCGATGACACACACAGGTACCCGAAAGATTCCGAGAAGCTGATGCTCGCTAGGCAGACAGGCTTGTCTAGGGGTCAGGTGAGCTAGAGAGACACGAGCTCGATCTCGCTCATTTATCTCATCCTACATTGTCGTCCTTGGTCCTTAATAATACGAGATGCTGCGTGGCTTTACGTATGTGATGTAGGTGTCCAACTGGTTCATCAACGCGCGCGTTCGTCTGTGGAAGCCGATGATCGAGGAGATGTACAAGGAGGAATTCGGGGCGGAGATGGACTCGCACTCGTCGTCGGAGAACACGGCGGGCAACAAGGGCAAGGCGGACGAGGCGATATCCTCGGAGTACCACGAGGAGTTCCAGAGCCCGTCGAGCGCCGCAAACCCAAAGCACGGCGCCACAGCAGGCCACCACCTCAGCGCGTTCAAATCGGAGGCGATCGGTGGCATGGACGCCGCCGGCGTCGGCGTCGGCGTCGGCCTATCCAGCCTCGACGGCGCCATCGGCTCGTACGCTACCAGCCTCAACCTCGGCGCTGTCGGCAACGGCAGCGGCGGCCTGCAGGAGGCCTTCGCGCACCACCACGGCGGCGGCGACGCGAGGTTCGTGCAGGCGTACGGCGACATGGCCGGCCTCGGCGGCTACGACGGCGGCAGCGTGTCGCTGACGCTGGGCCTGAAGCACTGCAACGACGCCGGCGCCGTGCCCGCCGAGCAGCAGGGCCTCCTGTACGGCAACGCCGGCGACTTCGAGTTCATCAACGGCTCCGCCGAGGACAGGCAGCGCTTCGGCTCGTCGCAGCTGCTGCACGATTTTGTCGCGTGAGGCGGCTGGACAACCGGGGTGCGCCGGCGAGTGGTGAATAACGCGGACGGCGTCAGAAGCCTGGGATGGCCGGCCGGCGCCACCGCGGGTACACGGTGGTCACACTTCATCGTGGTACATGGTTTCACTTTCAAATTAACGAGTAAGTTCAAGCATACATACATATATACTGGTGTGGTAAGTAGTGGGGAATTAAGGAGTGTATACAAAAACTGTATATGATATGAGGTGTGGTATAAAGTGTAGGTTATTGCTGTAAAGAATGTTAGACTATTGGTACTATTTTTGGTAGCTTGAAGATTCGTCTACTGATGATTCAAGTCCAGATATGATGTGTTGTTGTTGCTTGTTGATCCAATTGGACCTGATCAAGTGAGTCCATGGCTCCCTTTGGAGATTGGAGACACAAATGTTTCATGTTTTGTATTGTACCAGTTGTTCAATTCAGCTCTAACAACAATGCAGAAACATACTCCTACTCTATATATAAGCTCATGATTTGAATCTCTTGTGACATCTGATTTGTGGCAGACCAGCAAAATTTGTAAATCATAAATGACGTTGCATTGCATATTTGCATGTACGCAAACGTTCAGAATTCCTTTCATAGTTTCATTTAGGCAGCCGCCCAACTTCCGCAAGTTGCTCGCTGCTTATTCGTTAATTGGCATTCCTTGCTGCCGCTAGCTGCAGCTGATTTGTAAAACAGCTGTGAGGTATCCAGGAGGGATTAACTGAGTACAGGCCATCGCTGCACTGCACACCGATATCAGATTCAGGAACCGGCGATTCATCTTTTCAGTTGGAAATAGATTGCTGAGGCTGACATATACAGCCATATATAGCATTGAATTGGTACACAAACACAACGTCTGAAAAAAGATCAATCGATATAAGATACTAATAAAAGAGTCACCTTGCTGCTGCTGCGGGAGGTAGGGCTCTTTTGTGATGGAGCTGCGGCGGCAAAGCTTGGCGAAAGGTGCGGGCAAGGTTCCGACTTCCCAGGTAGAATGGTGGCGGCGGCGGCGGCGAGTCGATCTCCGCGTCAGCCTGTGTCACCGATCGTGACCAGGCGGTCCACGAATAAGCCCAGGAGAGAGTATAAGGCGAAACATCCCTGGGCCGGGCCGTCGACCGTGACCATATTGTCCACGATAAGCCCATGAATGGGCAGCTGGTCCCTCCTGTAGTCCTGCTTGCCTGCTCCGCCCACCTTCAGGGTCCGCCTCTGCCTACGCCCGGATCGATGGCGGCGGTGGCGCGTGTATAGCAGCAACCGGACTGACGCTGCATCTGGATTTTATGAAGTACGAAATTCATCTGATTCAGGCATGTAAATATTGCATGCGCAGAGGTCTCTCAAAGTACTGGACAGAGCACATGCAGAGGTCTCTCAAAGCACTGGACAGAGCACAATTTCTTCCCAGGTGAATTGATAGAGCAGATATATATATGAATTCATCATCAGAAGAGAAAAAGACTGACACGTTATAAATTTTCCATGGCTACCTGAATGTTGGTTCAGTCACCAACTCACCACAAACTGGCAGCACGGAAATATAAATCTGCTTATCTCATGTATCCAAACATTTGTCGGGCTTGTTCGCTGGTTGGTGCTGGTTTGGGCTGGTTGGTGCTGATTTTTTGTGAGAGAAAAACACTGTTGGCTGGCTGGTTTGGGCTGGCTGAAACCAACAAGCGAACAGGGTGACTGAACCAGTATGTCTGATAAATTTATTCACAAACACAAGATGTCCCAATAGCAGTTACTTCTTACATTCCCAAGTGTTAATGCCTGTACTACAATATATTTGTACAGCTTTATACAAAAACACACTGCTGTAATGCTTCACTTTACTTTCCTAACTTGTCCACTGAGTACTGCTGTCCAGCATTTAGACTAATCAACTGTACTGTAAAGTCACTTGTCACTTTGTCAGCATCCAGTGCCCATTCACCTGCATAACAACGTGAAAGATGGTGTGTTCATTACTACGTCCAACCTTCTACTAGCAGATAGCACAAGGTCAAATTAGATCCATATTAATTATCAAGACGTACCTCTTAAATAGGGATTTGATGTCTTCTTGTAGTGCAGGGCTTTCAAGAAACATGTCCTTGCAGTCTGAAACATCAACCTTGGCCAGCTCAAAATCCTCGTTGCTGCTGAGCTCATCCCACTCGAACCACAGCTTCGACACTCGCTCTTTCTTGAAGGCGGTGTGGTGATCCTCCTCCTCTGATGAGCCAGAAGCAACGAGGCGGTAACAGTACACAACTCTGGACTGCCCCGGTCTGAATGCCCGTCCAATTGCCTGGCGCATCACAGCAGGATTCTCATGAACATCCAAAATAACAATGCGGGATGCACCAACGAGGGAGATCCCCTCCCCGCAAGCCTTGATGGAACCAAAGAAGACTTTAGCTTCAGGTGAGTTGTTAAACCTCCCAATTGCTTGCTCTCGCTGCTCTTGAGTTGAACTGCCATCCATCAGGAAAGTGTTAACTCCTGGCTTCCATCCTTTCATTTTGATGAACAACGTTTCCAAGAAATGAAGAGAGCGAACATACTGGCTGAACACAAGTACCTTCTCTCCTGCAGCTTCTGAAAGTGACAACAGATTGTGTATGAACTTTGCCTTCACCCCATCACTGATATCAATTCCACATACAATTGAATCCATCATCCTTTTGCTGATGTTTCTATTTTTCTTGTCAACAATCTTGACATCCTTTAAGCATGGATGAAGTGAAACAGCATTGCATTTTGCATGTGCTTCAAATCTTTTCAGTCCTGCCAAACCCTTGATGATATCTTCCTGTTTGCTACTCATATTTAGCAAAACTGTGAAATCCACAAGTCCAGGTAGCTCCTTCAAGATCTCACCTTGGTAGTAGTGGAGAATATTTTCAGTTAGCTTGCGTAGATTCTGGATAATCATCACCCTCATTGTTTTGGAATCCTTCTGAAGATTCTCCTCAATCAATTCATAGAAAACCTTTTCTGATATGGTTTTCGATCGCATAGCCATCCCTGACATGTCCACCTTAGTCAGTATACTCTTCATGATTGCACGTGACCTTTGCATCTTCAAGAATCTGGGTCGCACAAGATTCAAAATATTGAAAACCTCACTTACGTGGTTCTGAAACAGGGTCCCTGAGAGCACCACTTTTCGAGGAGTTCGAATAGTTTCAAGTGCATTGAGCAGGTCTGTTTGGTCGTTTCTCGAGGTGTGGCCTTCATCTAGAATTACAAGGCTTGGGACTCTCAGCAGCTTCTCTTTGCACATTATGGTTTCTCTATCAGAAGAGTTGTCAGAAATTATATGTGCAAATTGTTGATAGCCAAGCAGCAATATGCTTTTGCTTTCTTCCCACAATTTCAAAACTTTCAGCTGCTCAGGTCGGCTACTAGCTTTGGAGGAGTAAAAATCATACAAAGGAATGTTCTCAACTTGCCAACGGAGAAATTCACTTTTCCATGTTCCCAGTATACCCTTTGGAAGCATAATCAATGGTCTCCCAGCAGGGTACCTGGCCAGAAAGCTGTGGACAAAACTAATCAGCAGAAATGTCTTTCCAGAACCAGGCGCATGTGCTAGAATACACCCTCCTGGGCTGTCCTCATCTGCCAGATTCTTAATCAAGAAATTGAAACCCTCCACTTGGTGAGGTTTCATCTGTTCTGAATGTTGAGGATGCATTGACAGAGTATCAGGGGCAACACTTAAAATAGTTCCTAGAGCATTCATAGTTGCATCTGGATCACTAGAGTTTCTTTGTTTTATTGGGTACGTTCTGTACGCTTGATTGCGCTGGTGCATGCAAGAAAAAAAAATGAGAAATGGGATGTGCTAACTCACAAAAAAGAGCGTGGAAAATTAGGGATTCAAGAAACAGAAATAGCTGCATTCAACGTAAAACTTGAAAAAAGTTTTGCAAATGAGAAATAGAATAGGACTTGATGTCGGAAAACGGACTTTTAAGTTCTGTCTATGTTTTGCTTTCATTCAGAAACACATTATAACAGAGTTTTTGGAACAGCATGAAAATGCGTGTTTGATCAATAAGACAACTTCCAAGTTATGCCAAGTTGTCAAACATATGAACAAACACTGGCAAAACTGCACAGTAATTGGTATGTAGTAACTGGTAGAGTAGATGAAAGGACATATAATTTTCATGAACCATATTTTGAGAAACTGTTGGATGGAATTGTTCATTAGAAATAAAACTAGCTCCGTTTTTTCTATGTGATGTCATGACATCATTTTAGTGTATGTAATCATGTACAGATCAATTTCTCCATAAAATTTCAAATGACTTAAGAAACAGAGAAAAAAAATGATGCTTTATGAAATAGGCAATTAACAAGATAAACACTAAACAAAATCCCTAATCATTGTATTAAATATCAATCGGTAATGATGCGATTGGCAGGAAGCCAAGATTGAAATAGTATAAGAAAATGATCTTGAGACTCAGTAATTGAAGCATTCTGACAAAGAGGGAATTGATTAAACTATTTTGGACCAGAAATTATATACCTTTTTCCATGAATGCTCAAAAATTTTATCGATGCGCTGCTGGATCAGACCACAAATACGGCACACCATGCCCAAATCATCTTTCAACAGGAAGTCATGGTTACATGCATCCTCTGTTTCCTCAGAGTTACTCTCAAATGGAACTATACTCAGATTAACTTGATTGGTCTGCTGAAATAAATGGAGTTAAGACTCAAGTCACAGAAAAAAACAATTAATAGCAAATCACAAAGTAAGCAAAATGTAAAGGTACTGATAAAAATAATCCAGTACAAAAAGAGAGTCAAAGGATAAAAAAGGGTGATAACCACAAAATTTGCAATACAACTAATCAGATCATTGAGGTGCTAAGTAAGATTGGACTAAAGTGACTCATCTAGTGAAAACAAATTCCTCATTGTGGACATGGGAACCAACAAGTGGATATGAAATTGTAACTAAATAATTCACAAAGAAAACTGAGAGCTATGTACTGAGGTTGCCTATCATAAACCTAGAGTCCTAACTTGTTTTTTTTTTGAACGGCCTAACTTGATATAGTTACAAAAAAAATAGAGTGATTTTAGATTTGAGTACCTCTGAACATGCAAGTGCAACTGACATGCCCATCCACAGATCATCCAGCTCATCAACCGGGCTACCATTATCAATGTGATTACCCTCATTGCTCTGTGGTTCATTTTGTAGAATTTCACAAGATACTTCGTAAGAACCAACATGTTTCGCTATGGTTCTTCCAATCTTTCCTTTCTCTTTAAGACCATTCTGTTCAAATGAAAAGGGTGAACATTATTGGGTGGAAATGGCTGCATTTATCACCCTTTAAACTTCAGTTTATAAAGAATCAATACTATATCATGCAGGTCATGATTTTTTAGCTTGATTAGTCATATATTATATGAAGAAGAAGATGCAGAGAGTACACACGAATTTTGTGTCCCCATATAGCAAAATCAGGAATATATTTTATATAGATCTATCGGATAAAGAATTTTTTTTTCTCGAACTACGCAGGAGAGCTGCGCGTCATTTCATTAAGGTAGAAAAACGGGTTTGGGTAGCCCATACCCAGTTACAAAACACACACCAACACATCAGCAGCCATTATACTTAGGCTGACAAAACACACACCAACACATCAGCAGCCATTATACACAGTGCGCCTGTAATGGGGAAGAGGTGACCAAGCAGAGAGCACTAGCTCTTGGAGCTTGAAGCCCCAGCCATGCACCATAGGCGGCCCTCAAAATTTATAGCCCTAAGAACCTCCCCGAGTGTTCGGCCTGGCCTTTTCAAACACACAATCATTCCTGTGTTTAAATCTCCCAAGCGACCAGGATTATCGAGAATTAAGGCCCTTACTCATCTCTTTTGGTACAGCCAAGAATGTTTTCCTCCACCATCCAAAGAAACGGGTCTCGGAGATTCAGGGAGCTAGGTGTATCGCATAGTGTTGGAAGATCAGCACCCAAACTTAGCGGGAGAACACACACCAACCAAGAAGTGGTGGATTGTCTCCTGAGCTTGGTCACAAAGGGGCAAGCCTCCGGATGAGGCAGACTCGCTTAGCCAAAGCGATCAGCGGTCCAACACTTGTTGTGAAACACTAACTAAATGAAGAATTTGCAACGTGAAGGAGCCCAGCTTTTCCAAATCCTCCTCCAAGACCCAATTACAGATGAACCCTCAAAGAAGGCAGCATATATGCCGATTTCATCATTATAAGACCCCGATTGACTTAACTTCCATTTGTATTGATCTCGAGTATCTTGTTTGCAAGACAATATTCTCCACAATATCCCAGATCTGAAGGTACTCATACATGACTCTGAACTCACGCGCTCCCCTTGATGTCACCCACCCAAATTATTTTGGAGCGCTTGAACAACAGTCCTTCTTTTGGTCAATCTTTTAGGGACCGTGTTGAATGATTGGGAGCAATTTCATCCAAAGTATGACCATCCAGCCAGCGATCTGTCCAGAACAAGATTTTCTCCCATTACCAACTATTGCATCCACAAAAACATTAAAAAGGGCCTGAGTGTTTCGGAAATTTGTACTGGGAGACTAGCCCATGGCCTAGAAGGGTCTGTCTTTTTGTGCCCAAAGAGCAGCCGGGCCCTTAATGCGCAGCCAAGCAGTTCCAGGTTAATAATTCCAAGTCCTCCATATTCCGTAGAGGCCTCTCACCTTTTCCCCATGCTACCAAGCAATTACCACCATTTGCTTGTTCTGTCCTTTCCACAAGAAGCCCCTTCTTTTTTTGTCTATAGCCTTGAAAACCCATTTTGGAAGATTCATGGCTATCATATGATAAATGGGAGCAGCGCTTAAAACCACTTTTACCAGTACCAATCGCCCGGCTTTGTTTAACAGGAAGCTTTCCATCTGGAAGATAATCAGCCACCTTATCCACTAAAGGCAGCAGTATTTCTTTGGTCGGTTTGCCAATTGTGAGTGGAAGACCAAGGTAGGTACAGGGAATGCCTTGATAGAACAGGAGAGAACCTCAGCCGTGAGAACCAGCTCTTCATTAGTACAGTTGATAGGAGACACTCGAGCTTTTTGATAAATTGGTTCTGAGTCCCGAGGCATGTCCAAACAGGTCAAGGAGGTGGCGGACTGTGTTAAGATCTAAACTGTCAGGTCTCAAGAAAATAACAGCGTCATCAGATAGAAAGAGACCCGATGCCGGGCCTGCTGAGTGGCTAGAGGTTGAAGCAGTGCCTCCCTGGATGCATACTCAACCATTGAATTCAGAACATTCATTACCAACAGGAACAACATGGGGAGAGAGGATCCCTTGTCTAAGGCCTCAAGCTTGAACTATGAATTCCCTGGTTCTCCATTCACTAGAATCTGGGTGGACGATGTGGATAGGATCAGGCAAATCAGATTACACCACCGCTGTCCAAAACCCACATGGCGAAGGATTTCCAAAGAGAAACGACCAGGAGATGAATCGAAAGCCTTAGATATGTCCAGTTTGAGCATGATATGAGATTCCTTTTTTTTCCTATGCAGGATTTCACCATCTGTTGTACAAGCAAAAATTATCATGGATGTTCCTGCCTCTGATGAAAGCACTTTGATTTGTAGAAATCAGAGAGGGAGAAATGGAGCCACCGATTTGCCAAGATCTTAGTGACCAACTTAGCAAAGCTATGAATTAGGCTAATAGGCGAAAATCCTTCACCTCTAGTGCATCTATCTTCTTAGGCAGCAATAATGAAGGCCGAGTTAAGTAGTCTGAACTTAATGACATGGCCACGGTGAATAGCATCCAAGGCCATCAACAAATCACCTTTGATAACACTCCAGCATGTTCACGAGAAGCGCCCACCGACCCATCGGCCCGAAACTTTGTCCAATGGCAAATCCTTTATGGTAGCCCATACTTCTTCTTCAGAGAATTGCACATCCAGACTTGTCAAATCATGTCTTTGAATGAATGCCAATTTCATCCAGATTTATTGTATATTCCTCTCAACTGCACTTCCAAGAATGCCTTCATAGAAATCCAACACCGCATCCTGTTTATCCTTCCGTGATACGACCACAATTCCCCAACATGCAGCTTTGGGATGTAATTCTTCTTTTCCTGAATCTAGCGTGTTGATGGAAAAAAGTAGTATTAGCATCCCCTCCCGAGGTACAATATTCGAACGTAGTCCGCAATGGTCCGTTCTAGTGAGGCCAAACCAAGACAAAGAAGCTTTAGTTTCTTGCGCACCATTCCTCCCCATCCGATGCGTCCCTAGAGTCCCTCTCAATTTCCAAACGGTGGAGGACCTCCTTAGCCATTCCAAGTTTGGACTTTAATATTCCCTATCTTCCGCGAGCCCACTTTTGGAGACCCGTCGAGGCGCCGCAGCTTCGGCTGCAAGACGCTCAATGGCACAATTAGATTGTCTGAGAGCCTCCCGCACGTTGACAAACATCCAAGAAACCCGGACTTTGGTCCGAAACTTTCAAAGTGGAAGCGCCGCTTTCCAATCGGTGCTTACCTTCAAGCCAAGAATCGGTGGGCGTGATCGAAACTCCGCCGTTGAACTCCCCAGAGAATAGGGAAGATACTTTCCCAACCAAAAACAGCGAGCACGGTCCAATCTAACCAGTAGTAGGAGACCTTCTCTCATTCGACCAAGTGTATTTACGACCCATAAGCGGTATCTCTTTTACCTCAACCTCATCCAAGAAGCGCTGAATCTTCCCATCATAGCCCTATCCAAGTTTGTATTATTCTTGTCGGCTGGTAAATCAGTGAAATCCCAACCCCCACAAGCCAAGGTCCATTGCAACCAGCCACATAAGTTCTTGCGTGAAATAGCACCTTCTCATCATCACCTTGTGGGCCATATACAAAAACCACCAATTGTGACCTTCCTGTTCCAAGAACAAAATAGAAGGTTGAGTATGTGTCCACCACAGGAAGCCAATGCCGACAAACATTACTTTTCCATGCAATCAGAACCCTCCTCTGGTGCCATCAGCCGAGAGAGCTATGAATTTGTCATAAGTCGTGCCAAAGACCGAGAGGAACAGATGTTGAGACATATTGGCGACCTTAGATTCTTGCAAACACACAATATCAGCATTACTGGAAAAAATTGCCTCTCTCACAGAATTCCGGCGATCCTTCTGATTTAGGCCTAGGAGGGTGAGGCCCAACCATCAGAGCGTCATCCACGTTCTCCTCGTCTTCCTGGGCACCTTCAACTTCATGAGCCCTTTCATCTTCATGAACCTTCACATTAATTCCGCCAGATTTTCTTTTTTGCCAATAATAACTCCACATGCACAACTTCCAGGGTCTCTTCGGGAGGCGGACCCTCGGGTGCCTCAACCGTCCCTTCCTCCTGGGTGGCCTCTTCGGGGGGCGGACCCTCAAGCCCGTCGTTTGGCTTCGTGCCGCACGAGGAGCGAGTTGAATGCACGGGGTCAAACCCAGGGGACTTCCTTGTCATCGCGCTGGATGCTCCACCGGCGAGCCTCGCCGCCGCCGCCAGCGCCTACGACGGTGACCACCTTGGTGGTCAGCCGGAGGCGGGGGTGGGGGGGCATCAACCGATGGGTTCCGATGAGGGGCCAAGCATGAAACCTCCACCTGATAGACGAGGCTCCGCATCCCGTCCTGATCACCAGCTCCAGCCACTGTAGGTTCCAAGATTTCCAACTCCATGCCCGTGGGGACACGACTCGGCGAAGAACACCACGCCATTACCCGGAAAACGTCCCGCCGATCCGCCGTATCTGGATGCATTCCATCAACCCAGCAGAATTCGTTGAGTAACTGTTTAGCCGTCTCCAGGTCCCATGCGTGAGCTGGGATACCGCGGAGTTCAACTTCGACCAGAACAGGAAGCGCCGCCGCAGAGGAGTGGAGGAAGCGGGACCAACGCATGATGTGCAGGCGATGAGCTTGAGCGATGATCGGCCTCCCCCCATTGTAAACCTGTGCGGCCAACTCAGCATTGGACGCAATTAACAAGAAGCTGGCGACGCCAAAACGATGAAAGATGAACTCCTCATCTTCAACCCCAAAACGCTGGACAATTGTGGCCTTGATAGAATCCGGCGACTCATCCAGAGAATTTCCGAACACAGTCACCACCAGGGCACGTGAGAGCTCCTCCTCCCGTTGCACCATAGAGACTGCGCGATCAATGATCCGTCGAGCTCGTAACGCCGGGGCGTGCTCCTCATCACTGGTTACCGCGCGGGAATTTTCTCCGGCAACCTCCTCGCCGGGGGAGTCATCTGACACGATGGATGGCTGCTGTCCAGCCCCATTCTCCGCACGTCGCCCACGGCTTCGGCGCCGTCGTCGCCTTCCAGTTGCAACTGAAGCAGCTCCGGCCCCCTGGACGGACACCATGGAACTCACAGGGACAGTAGCTGCTGCCCCCAGGGAACTCACCGGCCGCCAGACCTTCGTCTGAACCCGGGCTGGTTCAGGGCGCCGAACAGAGGGTCGCCGGCGGCAGACGTAAGAACGGTGGCCTAGCGCCCGGCAGTGGAAGCACCTTGGAGGCCAACGGCATCCATCCGCCCGGTGCTCCGGCGAGAAGCAATTAAAGCACCTGCCTCGGAGGTCCGAACGGACCGCACGACGAGGCTGGTGAGTGGCTGGCGGACGTGCGCGACAAGAACGTCGGCCCTCCACCGTCCACCACCCTTCAGCGTCAGGACCACGACGAGCGCCCCTAGATGGAACCTCCCGCGACCGGGCCCTCACGACGCGAGGCGGTATTGCCTCTAGCGACGGGGCCTGCGCGACGCTAGGAGAGGGCTTCTCTGGAGACGAGGCCGGCGATGTCACCTGGGAAACAGAGTCCCCAGAGCGCTGTTGGACTGTCGCCGGAGAAGGACCCTTGATTAGAGCTTCCTTGAAGGATATGTAGGATACGCCGGAGTTCACCGAAGATGGCGAACGATCCAGCCACCGCTGGGCCTTGGACCTTCCAGGAGTCGCGCCAACAGGATGAGGGGAGGTTCCCGACGCCAGGGAAGGAATGGCTGGCCTGGGGGAGAGCCCAGCCGGAGGGGTGGCCGCCGTGCCCGGAGTAGGCGACGACGTGGGGCTGGTGGTAGGGGAGGAGTCAGGAAGGAGAGGGGGAGAGGGGGAGAGAACTAGAGCCATCGGGATACGAAATTCTGATGTGGTTTATTTCCATCGGATAAAGAATATAACAACTTTATAGAAGAGGTAACATTCAGTTGCTTTAAGAAACACACCATAGGGCCTGTTCGCTGGTTGGTGCTGGTGCTGGTTTGGGCTGGCTGGTGCTGGTTTTTTGTGAGAGAAAAACACTGTTGGCTGGTTGGTTTGGGCTGGTTGAAACCAACAAGCGAACAGGCTGATAGGCTTACCAATACATGCATTACTTGGTCAATGAGTAGCGACTTGTAGTTGTTACGCTACTTAGGAATGATAATGATCCAGTTTTTAGGCACAAAATGAGTTGTAGTTCTCTAATTTATTATAAACCATAGTGATTAACATATCATTGCTAGAAGCCAAGTAAACCTCTTTTCTTTTTTCCCGAGAAAAAACCCTCATATTTATATGAAGAAAAAGCACACCTCAGTATTAGTGTTTATGTTTCCACGTGCTCGCTTCATCAATGGCTGCTGATCAGAAGAACTGTGGCTGTCAAATAGAACAATCTTTTTGGCCTTAAAACAGAATGGCAACAAGTTAGCAATGGACGCATTCAACACAATTTAATTTACTAAATACTAGAACATGTAAATCTGTTTGGCTCATCAAGGAAACCATGAATCCTCAGTATCCTCATCTACTACAAATTATCTACAACTTCAATTTTCCTGTAAAAACAATATGTGTATTCACAGCAAGCTGAACGCACCTCAGCAGAAACATCGTCATTGTCCATGCCGTCGTTCACTTGCTTAACTAAAGCCTGTGGTTCAGTACTGCTATTGCAATTGTCCGGCCTGATGATTTCCTGATGTTCGACAGGGTGCTCAAGCAGCGGGTTCTGTTGGATGTAATTACCATTTTGATTAGAAGATGAATTCTCATCACCAAAGGATTTAACCCTGTCCTTGTCGACTGAATCAACTGCTGCTGTTGAACCAGCCTCAGTGTTGCCTGCATTAACTTGGGTGTGATATTCAACATTGTCTTCGTCTGCATCCAAGTCAATAACATTATCTGGACTATAACTGCTCCCAATTTTTCCAAAGTTATCTAGTCTTGAATCTGATGCTTTCGGCAGTGGGCTGGAATAAAGCTGTTCGATAGGTACTTGTCGTAGCCTTTCTAGGATGCCAAAAAGTTCATGCCGTTTGGCAGTGATTGCCTTGAGATCTTTGGTGACACTCCCAGCCTTCAACTCATTGACTTGCTGAAGAAACTGAAGACGAAGACGTTTATTATGAAGGAAGATGTTTGACTGGGACTGGGTCCCTGGTGAGCTAGTGTGCCTTTTCTGGCCAGCAGAACCCATCCTTCCCATCCTTCAAGAAAATAAACAGTAAATTCTTTATAAGAGGCACATACTGCAAGTATGTTTACTATTAAACAGAAAATGCCTTTTGCATTACTCCTACTTGTGGCAGCCAACCACCTTGTATATTTGTCGGACACAAATAATCACCTCTTAAATTCATGGTGAAAGGGAAATTACAAATCAGGAATATGCTATCATCAATGATGTGATAATTGTTAACAATATCAAGGAAAACATGACATCAAAAAAAAAATCAAGGAAAACAAACATTTATGCGACCGACGATTCATGAAACAGGTAAAAAAAATCATTAGGGACCAATGATTTATGCATTTCAGTTCCCACACGGCTATTCTAATTTACGAAGGAAGCTTGAGTCATGGAAGGGTGGATTTACGCACTGGCTAGCAGACTGAAGTTATTAGATCAGCACCTGAACCCCAGGAACCAAATAGGAAATGGAAAGGACCAAGTAAATGCAGATGTAAATCAATCGCACTGGTATCAGAAAGTGGGATGAGTGGTAGATATCTTTGTTTGGTTAGAAAATGTAACCGATCCCAACCATTTTGATCGCATCCTTGCAACAGGGTGCCGCTAGCCGCTGGCTCCTCGCCTGGATGCGCCGGGAATAGCATGCCATAGCGCCAGGGAAGACGACGGCGAGCGACCCGTCGGGCCCGCAGCCGGCTGCTCCGAGTCCCGACCTTCGCTGGCGCTTGGCAGCCTCCCCCGCACGTAATCTCGGACGCCCGGAAGCCACGGAGAGAGGGTGCCGTGGCTTCGTCTTCGCTGCAGCGAAGGTCTAGTTCTACTGCAATCCCCAAGGTAGAAGGTACCCAAGCAGAAGCAGCGAGCGACCAATTCGTGTACGGGGAACTATCGACCGCCCTTGATAGTGGATTTCCTCAGCGTCAACCTAAACAGATGAGTTAACTCATCTGCAGTGGCAGTGTGGCACACAAGGTCCATGGGGTTTAACCAGCCACATCGATCAGAACAACCCAAAACCACGGATTGCGCTTTGCACAAAAACACATGGATTGGACATAGAAATGCAAATAAAAAGGTGCAGCATTTGGGGGGAAGAGGCGGTGAACCTGAACCAAGCCGTCCCGCGATGCTCAGCTCGGTGGAGAAGAAGTGAGAAGAGTTGGGTGATGCAGGGCGTTGTTTGTGCAATTGTGCGTGACAAAGGGCAGAAGTACCCACCCAATGCAACTTATTAGGAACTCAAAACTTTTTTTTTCCTTCCAATTTTCTCTTTTTCCTAAAACTTTTTGTTTTTCCTTTTTTTTTTACTGAGATGAGAATTCTAAGCAACTCCAGCAGGGGCGTCAAAACCAGAGCCCCTACTTTTTATTTAGATGCTCTCTTCTATTTTTGGGTGCCTAGAATTTTACTTCCACTCTAACGGCACCGCCCATACGAAGGCCCTCAAATCTAAATCGGCAGTCAATGACATAGGGACCCACTCGTCGCTGGCTCAAATCTGTTTCCCCTCATCCACCATACCACCACACACACACACACACGGGAGATGAGCGGCCAGGAGCCCAGGACACAAGGGAGATGAGCAGGTCGGAGTTCTCTGCAGCGCGCGACGGAGAAGCGGGGCATCGGCCAGCACGGTAGAGTGGCGCGCCGACGGCCAGCGCGGCAGAGCAGGCCCGCGCAGCGAGGCAGGCCCTCGTGGCGGGGCAGGTCTGCGCGGCGAGGAGCGGGCCACGCGTCGGAGTAGCGCGTCGTCGGATCTCGCTGCCGCGGCCGGAGGGGAGGGCGCCGTCGGAGCTCACTGTCGCGCGGCCGGAGGGGAGGGCACTGCCGGAGCTCACTGCTGCACAGGGGAAGATAGAGAGGGAGCCGCGCCGGTGGAGGGAGGACGCCGTTAGGAGGAGGCCGTGCGATGGAGGGAGGGCGCATGGAGGAAAACTGCCACGAAAACAGGATGGAAGGGTGAGCCCCGATTCTCTCACAGGAATGGGGTCTGCCGGATGGATTTAGGTGCCCACACTAAATTGAGGGCTAGTAGAGGTTTTACTGAATCTGTATTTTTTTTTGGGACACCTATATTTAGCTACGAAGAATTAAGTTGGTATTTTTCTACTCAATACAACGCGGCCAGTTAGGCTATCTCCAATAATGGCACCTTAAATATAATACATATTTAATGTTTGGGTAACGCTACAGATAAATAGTTTAATATACATTTATAATCTTCTCTAACAATACTACCTAAAAGAAAATCATTTCTACAATAGGTCTTTAGAAAAGAGAATGCTCAAACTTAGATTATGCCTCTCTTAGCACCTAAAATGTGCTCTTATGAGTCTCCTGCTGAAGACCACACTCAGCGAATGGTAACAAAGCTAGGCTCGGAAGTACTAGCATTTTTAAGCAAATGACCGAAGCATAGATCAGTTCACATTGCATTAGGTGCCGTTTGGATAGGATATAAGGGGTGGGAGGACAGAAATAAATGAGGTCATATTTGCTTCTCTTATAATTCGTATTTTTTAGCTTGTTTTTTTAGTCGGAACTATGTTTTTCTCTCACAATAAATCAAACGAAAGAGCATGAATTGTTAGAATTAAATAAAATATGGCTATGATATAATATTTTTTCATCCCTGTCCCAATCCCTATCCCCATTCAAAGACAACGGTGTCAATACAATATAATAATATGGGATAGTACATTCATAGCTTGCTACGGATTACTGTACAAACACGCGATTCAAGTAATTTGATGATGCGCCTTACACAAGGACAGCACTGAACTGGAAAGATACTCGGGCCTTGTTTATTTTCTCTCCCAAGAGTTTACACCCTATCTTATCGAATATTTGTATACATGTATAGAGTATTAAATATAGACTAAAAAAATAACTAATTGCACATATTGCGACTACTTTATGAGACGAATCTTTTAAGCCTAATTAGGTCAAGATTTGATAATGTGGTGCTACAGTAATACATGTGCTAATGATGGATTAATTAAGCTTAATAAATTCATCTCGCGGTTTACTGACAGATTCTGTAATTTATTTTTTATTAGTATCCGAACACCCCATACGACATCCCCATGTGACACCCGATGTGACATCTCAAAACTTTACACCCTGGAACTAAACAAGGCCTCAAACGCTCTGTTTTCTTTGTTCACGACACGAACAGCTCCGATCCTGCTAGGGTTGCATGGACACAAACCCCGCCCTAACTCAACTTGCTTGGGTTGCAAACACCTTGTGTCAATTGCATGCAGCTGATTCTTTATTGCCGCATGGTTCTCCCTCCTGCAAGACTCTATGGGATGTACAAGGTGCGCCACTACGACGGCCTTGTTCCGGTGCATCTCCATGAACTGGCCTCCGGCTTCTTCCCGCCCCTCCTTGAGGATATTGTCCCGATCTCGAGCGCGGGCGATGAAGAACTTCGATGATGAGGCCCTTGAACTCTCCCCCATTGCTTGACCACTACTCGAATCCTAAATGTGTCACACTCGGGCTCGTGTCGTGTCGAGGTTCCGCCACCAAAATAGCGATCTTACCCTCCGCCACCCCTTTAGCCTTGAGCTTTTCGATGGGGTTTTTCTCTTGGGCCGCGCTTGCCGCCAAGTCGTGCGCGCTTGATCGCCACCATGCCATCGCCTTTATGGTGCGGCACATGCCTCTTCGGGGTCCACCAAAGACGCTGCCATCCACCGCCGCCGCCGCTTTCGGCCTCGTGTCACCCGGTGTATCTCATGTCGCGGTCGCGACACCCGCCGCCGGTATCTCGAGGAGCGGCAGGTGGTCTCCGCCTCACCAAAAGGCTACGAGCGCTCACGAGGACCAGGAGCACCAAAGCTCATCGTCGCCGGCGTCGTCATGCGGCGGCTTCGACTCGACGAGGTCGCAGGCACACCAGGGATTCGCATTGGCAAGTAGTTGGCAAGTACGGTTTGGTGGTGGCAATGCGAGGCGGAGGCGGCGGGCGGCTTATGAGCATGTCATAGCAATCAGACTTGGGTATTTGAAGGGCTAACGCCGCTGGTTAACTGCACACCGACTAGGAATCGAATCGACAACCCCGACTTCTAGTGAAAAACATCGAGGAACCGGCCCAAACGACGCGCTTCCGACTCCGACTTCTCTCCGCGCTCTTTACACCTGAAATCGGAATCGGCATCTGGCGGCCTGTGGGGAAAATCCCCCCGGCTTCTCGGGCATCTCGGCTGCATGCCTGCATCCGCCCGCGCTGCCCTCCTCCTCTCTAGCAGATCTCCTCCTTCCTTCTGCCGTCTAGCGTCGCTTCTTCCATTGTCACGAGCCCGCGAACCTCCTCTCCGTTGTCACCGGCCCACCGCCGCCCTTTCTATCGTCCACACCGGCCCGCCACCGGCCACCCGTCCTTGCCGTCTCGCCCGTCCTCCTCGCTGCCCCCCTCGTCGGCCTACCTCCTTCCTCCAACCTCCTCCATCCATCCTCTCCATCCTCGCGTGTCCCCGCGTGGATGCCGACGGCAGAGGCCTCACGACCCTACGCCTAAGGCAGGACAAAATACTCGTGGCTCGCCAACTCGCTCGACTCGTGTTCGGCTCAGCTCGGCTCGTTTTAACTTTTTCACGAGTTGAGCTGGAAGTCTAGCTCGCTGTTTTAACGAGCCAGCTCACGATCTGCTCACGAGCTCAAACAAGCTGAGACCTATCAGTCCACGACCATGAATCCAGAAGATGATGATGCTGACCTAGAAGTGTACACCTATTCCATTGATATGTAATCCTTATTTTTAGTTGTTTCATATGAATTTTGATTTTATAATTTTTGTGATACTTAAATATTGATATATGGATTGTTTTCCAGGGAGAAGATGATGATGCTGACATTGAATTTGTGAACTTTCCTAAGTCTGTGATGGCAAGCAACGAGTAAGTATGCTGGAACTGCATGGATCATGGATGGACCAGCTATGTTACATGGTTGATACTTTCGATGAACCTAATATGTATTAATAATGTATGGTTGCATAATAGTGAACGTCACATTCTGAAATTATTATGACATGAATATTATAAATATATGTGTCCTATTTTTTTTATAGCTCGCGAGCTAAATAAATCAGCTTGAGCTTGCTAACGAGCCGAACTGAGCTGTCTCTCTATCTCGTAATATTAACGAGCCGAGCCGAGCTCTGGCTTATTATTAGCCTAACTAGCCAGCTTGAGCTAGACCGAGCCGCCGAGCATGCTCGATATCCAGGCCCTACCCACGCCTGCCTCTGGAATCTGGATCCTCTTCTCGGCGGGAGCGGGGAGCTCGTCCGAGGAGCACAAGCGGGGAGCGTCTCCGAGTGGCCGCTGGGAGTTTGTTCGGGGAGCACGAGATGGGAATCGGTAAGTATTCCTCTTGGCTCGGTGAGGGCAGTCCCAATATTGTATTGATGATGGTTTCTATCATCATTAAATGACTTACCACGTAGGTAAAACGCTGACATGGTAACGTAATTAATGAAGAAAGAGAGCAAAAATTATAGAAATGGTTTCCTCATGAAGAAATCAGGTCTACTCTTGACCCAATGCATCAAGAAACCATAAAATCGCCATTGGGAGAAACTACCAGTTTTAGGGAACTCGTGTCGCACTCTCATTGGAAGAAGATAGAGTTGGGAGAGAGAAAAAGAAAATAATTATTACTTATGAAACCATGAGTTGAAAAAGCAGAACTTTTTTTTTTATGCGGTATCCTATGTTATAGAAACTACTAATTTGTTTGGACTGCCCTGATTACGTAAGCCCCCTGATTACGTAAGCCTGAACTGAAAACGGTTTACGACACTTTTAGCCACTTCCAAAACTCAAGCAGAGGAGAGAGTCCACTGTCGGTCGCCGTCGCTAATGGCGATTCCCCATCGCCTCTCGCGCCTTCCCAGGGCTGCCGCAGCCACTAACTGGTCGGCCGGAACTCTCGCCTCAGACCTCGGCGGAACCGGAGCGAGACCCTCAACGTCCGCCCTGGCTGCCGCAGCGACGGCGGCCGCCGGCGCCGGCCGCGCCTCCGAGTGCCAGTCGCTCCTCCTCCGCATGTCGCGCCGCCGCGGCGCCTCCCGACGCGAGATCGTCTCCTCCCTACTCGCCTCGTCCCCCACCCCGCAGCCGCAAGTGTTCGACCTCCTCATCCGCACCTACACCCAGTCCCGCAAGCCCCGGGAGGCCTTCGAGGCCTTCCGCCTCCTCCTCGACCACCGCGTCCCCATCCCGGCCTCCGCGTCCACTGCCCTCCTTGCCGCGCTCTCCCGGGCCGGATGGCCTCACCTCGCCGAGGAGGCCTACCGCCTCGTCCTCTTGTCCGACTCAGAGGTAAACGCCTACACGCTTAACATCATGGTCCACAGCTACTGTAAAGCCCTAGAGTTCGATAAGGCTGATACTGTCATCTCCGAGATGGAGAAGAGATGCGTTTTTCCGGATGTGGTTACACATAATGTGTTGATTGATGCCAGATTCCGTGCTAGAGATGTGGATGCAGCAATAGCATTGATTGATTCGATGGCCAATAAGGGGTTGAAGCCTGGGATTGTGACATACAATTCGGTTTTGAAGGGGTTGTGTAAGCACAGGAGATTCGATAAGGCGAAGGAGGTGTTCAGGGCAATGGACCAGTGCAGCGTTGCGCCAGATGTTCGGAGTTTCAATGTTTTGATCGGAGGATTTTGTAGGGTTGGGGAGGTTGAGGAGGCCGTGAAGTTTTACAAGGAGATGCGACAGTGTGGTGTTACACCAGATGTGCTCAGCTTTAGCTGTCTGATTGGATTATTCTCAAGGAGGGGGCAGATGGACCATGCGGCGACATACTTGAGGGAAATGAAGGGTTTTGGGTTGGTGCCTGACGGTGTGATTTACACAATGGTCATAGGTGGGTTTTGTAGGGCTGGATCAATGTCAGAGGCTCTAAGAGTTAGGGATGAGATGGTTGGCTTTGGATGTCTGCCAGATGTGGTAACATACAATACCCTGTTGAACGGGCTCTGTAAGCAGCACAGGTTGCTTGACGCAGAGGAGCTTTTGAATGAGATGAAGGAGAGAGGGGTTACACCAGATTTATGCACTTTCACAACTTTGATTCATGGGTACTGTAGGGAAGGTAACTTTGAGAAAGCATTGCAATTGTTTGAAACACTGTTGCACCAGCGTTTGAGGCCAGATGTTGTGACATACAATAGCTTGATTGATGGAATGTGCAGAAAAGGTGATCTGGCCAAAGCTAATGAGCTATGGGATGATATGCTTGCTCGAGAAATCTTTCCCAATCATGTTACCTACAGCATCCTAATAGACAGGCACTGTGAGAAGGGACAAGTTGAAGAAGCATTCGGTTTTCTGGATGAAATGGTCAATAAGGGCAATTTACCAAACATCATGACCTATAATTCCATCATCAAGGGTTATTGCCGATCAGGTAATGTAAAAAAGGGGCAGCAGTTTTTGCAAAAGATGAGGCAAGATAACGTATTGCCAGATCTGATTACTTTCAACACCCTGATCCATGGTTATATAAAAGAAGAAAACATGCATGGAGCTTTAAATGTGTTTAATATAATGGAGAAGGAAATGGTACGACCAGATGCTGTCACATATAATATGATCATAAATGGGTTTTCTGAACAAGGCAATATGCAAGAAGCTGGTCATGTTTTCAAGAAAATGGGTGCCAATGGAATTGAACCGGATAGATATACATACATGTCTTTGATAAATGGTCATGTTACAGCTGGCAACTCGAAGGAGGCATTCCAGCTTCATGATGAGATGATGCATAAAGGGTTTGCTCCCGATGACAAATTCTGAGGCTTGTCAGTTCTGCCCTATTGGAAGCAAGAGAAGTGCGTTTACCAATGTCTTTGAAAATCACACTAACACGGATTGTGAATTCGAAGCGTGAAGGTGAGCCCAAGAAATTTTAGCATAATGCATTGAAACATCAAGTTTTGCATTTAAATCTTTCTACTCATTGTCATAATAAGATCAGCCATTAGAATTGATATCTGGTTTAAATATTTGAGTATGATTCAACAAATGTGTCCTTTCTCAGACCAAGCAAAAAAGCTATTCTCTGCACAAGTATGTGTTCTGATAAAGTGGTAATTATTGTTGCTTAGTTGATATTCTTTTCTTTTCTTTTCTTTGGGCTGTTTTGGTGCTTTACCCTTCTACATGGTTTTGTGATTTGGTACCACATACTGACGCTCATGATTTTCTTAGGGATGTGGTTAAATTATGAGGAAATTCTCTCCCATGGGAGACCCAAGGGAAACAAAATATCCTATGCAAATGAACTTTATGTTGTGGAAGTGCTTTCTTCACTAAGATCCATGATTAATGCTTTTGTTTTCTGGGCACAAAAGAAGTCTAGAAAACCTTGACCTCTCAGGTGCTATTCTCAACCAGCACCAGCAGATATGTGTTCGGTCCACATATATTCTACCTTTTACAAACTAATTTGACTTTCTGCTAGGTCCTAGTACTTCAATTTGGTTATTAGAATTTTTTTTATAAAAGGTAATCTTACAGGGAGTCTATTTGACAAAGCCTTTGTATTTATGTTGAACGGTACTGTGTATCAGTTAATTGCATTTATGCACCTGTTGTTACAGTTGCTGATCCTATTTATATCTACACCTGATTAGTTGGTTCCTGTTCAGGAACAGATCCAGAAAAATGGGAGATTGTGGAAACTCCATTACTTGGGAGACTGCACAAAATATGGTAATGTCGCTCCAACTATGTTCTAAAGATTCCATGACGCGATAAGATTTTAAGGAATAAGAACATGCTAATTGACTATATAGTTATTGTTCACACTGAATCTCATCTTTCACTTGAACCCTTTATGAGGAAACTACAGGATCGATAGGGGTTAAGTAAACGAAAAGTTTATGATAAAATTGTCCTTTAGTTCTTTTTTCCCCAAATCTACTGCTACACTTCTTTCTTTTTTTTTGAACAAAAATCTACTGCTACACTTCTTTGTTATCTATATAAACAGTTACACACTGATCACACCTTCAGATATTGCTCTGTTTGATGAGTTTCATCTAGAGAGTTTATTTTAGTGCAAAAAGCAACATAGTGCCTCCTACCTGATCAGGAAATGTTACACACAGACCTTTAGACAGTTACATACTGACCACAGCTTCAGATATTGATCTGCTTGATAAGCCCTATCTAGAGAGTTTATTTTAGTACAAACTGCAACTTAGTGCTTCCTACCTGATCAGGAAATGTTACACAGCACTGCATCACTAAATTTATTCTGTGATAATTTCCACTACTTTGATGATCCTAAAAATCCTGAGTTGAAACTGTGCCTTTTTTATCGGGTACTGCTGAAATTGAATTAAGGAAATCAAATTGCTCTTAAAATTTAAAGCCTGGAGGATATCATGTGAGCAGTGAGCGGATCCTAACTTACTTGTGAGTAAAAGGCTTGAGATAGCAGATATGGTAAAAGTGTAATTGGCAAAAAAAAAAAAAACATTATATTGCATCTTTCATATTAACAACAGCCCTCTATGGAAGATATTCAGGATATCATATTTACAAACTTACACTGTCTTACATGCAGACTAAGAAAAACTGCTGCACAAAAAGGAACGAAAATTTGACTGGAGGTCTAAATATGTTCCCTTCAGTCTGAGCTCCAGAGGAGTGCAAAAAGAAACATTGAATGAATGGAAAAATGAACAAAAGAAAAATTAATAACTATTGTACATGTTTGAAGATTCTCATGGGTGTGGGCATCTTCCTCCAGGATTGTTGGGATCAAATGTGCAGCCAGACGCTCCAGGCATCGAGGATGTCAAGGACACCGAGCTTCCTCTTTGTGGCTGTGATTTCTCTCTCAGGACACGGTATGCAGCGATGGTGGTGGCTTGAGCTGCCAGGGCCAGGATGAAAATGAGAACCAGAGGCAGAACTTGTTTTCTTTGGAACATCGTGGTATCTTGTGAACTTCAGTATCAAATGAGGTGCGAAGCTAGGACTCGAGGCTATATATTGAGTTTATGGTTTCCGTGTTGGTTTCCTTGGCGATCACGGTTTTGACGCGTTCTAACAGTTCTGCCATGTGGAGTATTCGCAAGGTTGACCGCTGTATACAGAGTCGTTCAACTCGTTGTGAACGTTCACAGAAGGATCTCTGTTGCACAAGCACAATGTATTTCAGAAATAGAAATAAGATCATTGATTACTGTGTCGCAATTTTTTTCCTTTGAAAAAAATCCACAGCAATACCACCAATCTTCTGCATCAGTTCTATCGTCTTTCACTCGAGCATCCCTGATGCGTGCCTCGCAAGGTTCTATAAATGTCAACATCCCTATTTCGTCGCAGATTCCGTGTGAGGCCTGCCAAATTCGATCGACTGACACCGGCACACCGTGTATCCGCGATTACGGGGCTGCCCTCTTTTTTTTTGACGTGGACTACGTTTGTGATTTTTTTCTCTCGAATATGTAAAAGATTTACGTATCACTGTATTAAGTAGAAATGTTTAAATAAATATACAACACGCTTCTATCGAGCGTCGAAGGAGGTCGACCTTATACAGTCGTAATTGGACCATCCTAGCAACCTACCTCTTAATTCGATATTACATAAAAGAAAATAACCAATATTGATATAGCTGTGCGACCTAGACGGTGGTCTTGAGTCTTCGTGGCTGCCTGGACGAGCCTTTTTTAATGTCCGGAAGAGTGCGTCCAGCGCTCAGTCAGGTTGACGTCAAAGAGTTTGTCAAAGGTCTCCAGCTCTGACGCGGATGGCGTTGATGCCTTAGTGTAGCCCATACGCTGCATGATCAGCACCTCGCCTCGCTTGGAAACAGGTACTCGGGAGAGGCCCTGAGCCACCAACCGCCTGCTCCGCCACGGCAGCACTGGCTTAGCAGGAGGCTGCTTGGGAGGCTCATGAATCAACGGAGAGTCCCTCTTACGCGTCACTTTGTTGATGATGCCGACGAGGCGACGTTTGGTGGAGTCGTTGTTGTCCACAGTCTAGTGGGTATCCACCGACGATGAATTGGGAGGGCCAGCATCCACCGTGGGGTCGAGACTGGTCTGAAGCCTGGCGAGTAGCTGTGCTCCGTGAGTGTCTTTGGCGAGTCCCTTGCCCAATGAATGGGGCACGGGGCTGGTGTCCGTAGCTCACAGGAGACCATCGCTGGGTCCTCATCCTCCAGCTGGGGGGCCGCCACCGCCGGGGCCTCATCCTGTAGCTCGGGGGCGCTGAAGGTGACAACAGGCGCTCAAGGGAAGGCCACGAGACGATCCAACTGCCGACGAGCGAGGCTGCGAACTCCTCTAACATCGGGTCCTTCGTGATGTCGCGATCATGTGTGGCATCCGGGTACAACGTCAGCGTCAACGGGTCGGGCTCGACGATGCCCGTCTCGTTGGTCAGCTCACCATGCCCTGCTTGAGCTCCAGTAGCGACCGAGGTGAAGGGCAGTGCCGTCTGGGCGGACCCTGCCGACCACCCATGACTATCGGTGGTGACACTCGTTGCCGCAGCGACGGCATCCCCCTTCAGCCGTCGCCGACGTCTCTAGCGTCGGCGGCCACTGGCGCCGCGCGTAGCCGCACTCGGCATGGCTAGAGCCGCACCCAGCACAGCTCCAGCCGAGCTCGGCGTGTCGCCTTGAGTCCGTGGCCAGGTGCCCGAGGCACGCTCCCAGTCAGGTTGTCGTGGCCGGCCTTCTGTGGCACCAAATGCACCAGAGTTGGAAGGAGGCACCGCCCGCCGCCTCCTCTTATAGTCCCGTGTGAGGTGTCGGAACCCCTTGCATCGGAGGCAGCGTGGAGGCAGCGCAGAGGCAGCTTACAGGTTGCCACCCTGTGCGCGGTGGAGAGACAGTTGAAACACTTTTCGAGTAGGTCCGCCGGATAGCGGTTTGGGGCCACTGGATCGTCGAAGCAGTGTGGGCGGGGCGACTGGTGGTGTCGGTAGCATCGTTGCTTCGGTTGCACTTGCACCTTTGGCGTGAGAAATCAAAGAGTAAAAAGTCCCCTTTACATTCCTTCGGGACCTGATTTTTCTCCTCAAAACTCCAAAATAAGACATCTTAGAATGTATTTGATTTGAGGGTAAATATATTAGGATAGTTCCATTCTAGTTTTTCTTGAATTGAGATGGTTCCATCTTGTGTGTGTGTGTGTTAAAGAGATTGTGGTGAATAGGATAGTTCCTGCCTAGTCCATCGTGACTCACTTGTTTGCTTCATCGTGTCGCCCTCCTCCACCCACATCGCACTACCAATGCCTGCTTACCCTGCTCGTGCAAGGAGTTGAACCGGGATGGGGAGGAATGGAGCACGCACCGCCACATGGTCTATCCTCCATGATGGAGAACCAAGAGGATGCGTAAGAAACTAAGAGAAATGACATGAGAGAGGGATGAGTTTGTCCTACATTTTCTAGGTGCCACATGTTCCGAATCTAGTGACGACGGACATCGGAGGTACAAACTAGCGATAGTGCGTTGAGGCCGCGTTGTGCAGCTTGGCGGCAATGGGGTGCGCGACAACTGGTGGTGTCGGTGTCCGCCAGCGAGTTGGGCAGCAGCGACACTGCCTTGCTACCCTGGACTTTGACGACCTGGGGCCTGACTCACGGCTTCGGCCTTGTGCAGCGCTCTGTTGGCAAGGTCGGGCGGAAAGTCATGCTTGGCAATGGCAGCAAGGAGGTCCATGCAGGGGGTGGGGGCTTTGGCGAAAGCCTTGCCCTTCTTCTGGCTGATAACGGCGACTCCTCCGGGCGTCGTTTACTTCCTTGGAAGCGTCCATCGATCTGCTCTCTCCCCTTGCATGGCACTTTCTTTCTGGGTGTAAAACCTTGACCTTCTGGTTAGGCGACGGCGGTGCTTGTGGCATCGTTCCCCTCGTTGGAGGCGTTGCTAGGAAGCTTGTGCTATGCCAGCCATGGCGGTTGCCGACAAGGTGGAGACCTAGTTGAGGATTCAGGATCTAGTGTTAATGGCATCGGAAGGTAGCCAAAAAGAGGGTGTTCACATAGTGATTGGAGGGCTTGGCATCTGCTTGGTGGAGGGCGACGGTCTTGGAGAGATAGTGCGCTAGTTGTGTCCATGAAGATGGTGAGGAGGCCGGCGTGGGTGGCATCCACGAAGTTGGCGAGAAGGCCGGCGTGGGAGGTGGTGGCTAGCAGTGCGTTACTGAGGTGGCCTACGTGGTTTGAAGGTGGGTGGTCCCTCTCAGCGGCGGTCGTTTCGGCATAAAGAGGTTCTCTGACTAGCAGCTGGAGGACCCTTGTGGCACTTCTATCTTTGATGAGGCAGCTAGGTTGCTGCAAATTGCATTGTAAGCGCTTGGATCGTGGTGGACGGGATCGACTTGGTGAGCGCCAGAGGCAGCTGCTCATGCATTGGTTTGGTAGCTTGCAGCGGACTATGGTTGCTAGCCCTGCTTGGCGGTGGCTAGTCCGGTGTGCTCATCGACTTGATAGGTGGCACAAGCGGATCCGATTGTGGGAGGGCTACATGGCTTGCAGCGATCTACGGTGGCTAGCCCTGCTTGGCAATAGGCGAGCTCGGTGTGGGTCATCATCGGTGACGACAGTGCAAGCGGTGATGACACATTTTTGTCTTGACGTCCTTGTCGTCCGGGGTTTTGGCAGTGCAATGTGGTGACCGGCTGGTGGGTTGGAGCTGCTGGTGATTCTTTTCTTTGAGTTGTGCTTTGGCTTTTGTGCGGTTCGTGTCGATGTCCCAATCCAACCGACTAGAGTTTTTTTTCTTTTTGTTGAGTTTGTTTTCCGGCGTGATTGTTGGTCGCTGTTGTATCATTGTGCCCACTTTGGGCTTTCTTCTTTTTAATATAATCGACAGCTCTCTTGCCTGGTTCATTTAAAAAATATTCTTATATGGGGATGACTTCGTCTCACCTGTCTCCAACAAAACACTTGTCCTTGTCCAGTCCTATAACCAAACATAACACTTGTCCTTGTCCTGCTCTTTAACCAAACATAACCTTAACCTAAACTCTTGAAACTTTTCAAAGTGGTTTTGAAAGTAGTTCCATTTTTTACCTTAGAATTGGTAGATACTTGATTAGATTTTAAACAACATAAGTTATTTCTAAACTTATAAAATTTCAATAAAAGACAGTCAATAGCATAGTCATGAGAGTCGCTCCGCCCCCCTCCCCCTCCACACCCCTCCCCACCACCTGCTCCTCCTTATCCTCCCTCGCTAGGTGATGTCTCTCTCTAGCTTCGTCGACGACGACCTCCCTGCGCCATGGCTGGACTCTCCGACCTGGACTTCAACCCAGGTTTGGAGATCGAGAAGTTGGTGGCTCTTCGGTTCAAGTGCGTGGTCTGCTCTCCCCTGCCTGCTCTGAGTTTTCTCCTCGTCGCTTCTTTTGGTTGCTCATCCGTAGGCTCAACAAGGGATTTGTAAGTCTTGAAATGGACCGTAATGCCTAAGAGGGGGGGGGGGTGAATTAGGCAACTTAAAACTCTAACTCTAACTAAGGCCTCTAATTCTTATTCTTAGCAAAACCTATGCAAAAGATAAACTATCTAAATGTGCAACTACGGTTTTGCTAGTGTGTTGCTATCTCTACCGCAAAAGGAGTTATGCAAACAATGTAAATGCGGAAGTTAAAGAGTAAGGTAGAGATATGGAAACTCCCGTCGATGACTCCGGTATTTTTACCGAGGTATCGAGAAGCGCGCAAGCTTTCCCCTAGTCCTCATTGGAGCCCCTCGCAAGGAATCCCTAGTAAGGGCCAAGCTCCTGGTCAGGTAACTCCGTGGGTAGCCCCAGGCCTTCCCACGCGCGTAAGTGGGTCTCCGGTGTGCCTTCCGGCAAGCCTCTCCCGGATCACTCCCCGCCGTCTTCACTATCAAGCTTCCGGCCGAACCGCCGCAGGCCTTGTTCCCTTCGATTACACGGTGGCGGCCACACCACAAACGTGGTT